TATAATATAATAAAAAAAATGTTTTATTTAATGACACACCAAAAAAAGATTTTTTCTATTTTTAATTTTATAAACTTTATTATTTTTTATTTGTTTGCATTTTAAATTTGTCTTTTTTTTTACTTTTTTTGTCTTTTTCATTAAATTTTTTAAAACTTTGTATTTTATTTTAATGCTCTGAGCAATAGCCAGCCTGCTATTGGCTATTTTAAATTGCGATAGCCAATAGCAGGCTGGCTATTGCATCTGCCTGCTGTCAATCAGCAGAGGAGGGGCCTGAAGGAGAAAGTTCTCTATCAGGTCCTCCCATGCTGATTGACAGCAGTCAATGGGCGGGTGCAATAGCCAGCTTGCTATTGGCTATTGCATTTGACAATATCCAATACCAGGCTGGGTATGGCTCCCAGCCTGCAGATGAAGAGGAGGCTGGGGGCGGGGCAGAGGAGCCGTGGCCGGACGGGGGAGCGGAGGATCGGCCGTAACGGGGAAGAGAAGCCGACGGACCAGGGGGAAGAGGAGGCCAGGACAGCAGCAGAGGTAGTGGTGAAGTATGGTACTGGAGTGCTCCCGGTCACTGCGCTGGCCGGAGGGAGTCCCCTGTCACCCCCTTAATACAGTATGTCCCTGCAGGCTGATACCATCTCTCCTGCTCTTTAACTTCCCCCTCACATGCTACCACCAAACTAGGTCTTATTTTCGGGGTAGGTCTTATATTACAGGAATCTTGAAAAATAGTGCTAGGTCTTACTTTCGGGGGAGGTCTTATTTTCGGGGAAACAGGGTAATTAAATAAAAGGTAAATACGTGGAATAAAAAAGCCACATTATAGTACTACAAAAAGAGCCACATTATAGTAATACAAAAGAGGATAATGTTTTGTGGTATTTTTTAGGAGAAGCAGAAAATCGGGGGCCCATTCTGACAAAATTTCCAGATAATTAATAAAGCTTTTGTATGTTTTAATTTCAGTTACAGTACATATAGATATACAATTCTCCACTTCTAACATGAATGAGTTAAATGATCCGTAGTACAGGGCTACATATCATGTACTACGGATCATTTAACCCATTCATATTAGCAGGGGATAATTGTAAATCTATTGTTCAGTGCATTCTATATGTAGTATATAGTACATGTACATATAGAGTGCCTGCAACAATACATTTACAATTATCCTCTGCTAACATGAATGGGTTAAATGATCCCTAGTACAGGGCTACATACAGATCATTTAATCCATTCATGGTATTATGTATTGTCTGCACTGTATTAGCAGTATATACTGTATATGTAACACATATACAGTATATACTGCTAATGCAGTGCAAACAATACATAATTGCTTAATAAATATCCCCCCCCCCAAATCTGTTGTCAAAATGCCCTGTATCGGGCCCGATTCCGATGCTAGCATCGGTATCGGGACATCCCTACCACAGACCATTCAATTAACCAAAATATTTCAATAAGATTATATGTGCACTTAACAAATTTGATGCATATTATTTACAGTCTCCTCTTACAGGCAAAAAGATCCAGAAGTCCTAAACCTCTGCTGCTGGGCGCTGCCATCTTGTATGTGATGTTGGCAGCCCCAGCTGACTTAGAGTTTTCAGTCAAGTGACACTCTCTAATGCTCCCCTACATTCTTTCAGCTGCATTTACATAAAAGTCATACTTCCCAACTTTCTGAGATAAGAAAGAGGGACACCTTCCAGCACAATGTATTTAGGCAGTGGACATGCCCACATTTATGTGGACCATTAGGAATTTCTGCTAAAAATGATTGGTCAAACCCAGAATTGTTTATTTCCTTTATACTGGCATTTTGTATTAGCAAACAAGATAATAAGGAAATAAGATGAAGGTTTTAATGCAGAATAACACTTTTGGTAGTTAAATATTACCTTTTTATAGATATATGTACATCAGTTTAAAAAGAGGGTCAATAGAGTGGGAAAGCAGAACAGATGGATTTGGTTCCAAATGAGGGATGGTTAGGAGGTATGAAAAGGTTGTGTAGGGAGGTAAAGGGGGAGTTGAGAACTTTGACCAGTGCAAAGAGTAGTTAAGACACTCCTAGAAGAAGAGAGGGCTATGATGTGCAAGGAGGTAGGGAAACTGTGCTAGGGAGTTGACTAATTGCAACTGACAAATTTTCTAGCAAGTTAAAAGGCACATTGCAAGTGACTATGATATAATTTATGGAAGAAAAAAAACACCAAGTTATAATTGAAAATACTTTTATTTGCTTTTACCTGCAATTTGTTAAGTTGGAGATTGGTTCTCTTTATAAATCCTTAAAACAATAGCGTTTTTGCATAAACCATATTGATTGTTTTTCTGCAGTTTTCTAAACTGTTTTATAATTTTTATTTTCTATTTTTATAAAACTGTTTTTCTAAAGAGAAAGCACAGTAGAAGCAGTTTGCCTTCAGACTCTTTCACTGGAAGTCTGTACACCTCAAATAGGGAGATAGACAAGGTACTCATCTTTCTCTTTCAGCTTGAGCTACAGAGTTATAAAAACAGACATTTTAATGCAAAACAACTGCACTAGTTCATTTTTGTCCTGAAAAAATTCACATTTTATTTTTTTTACTCCTGACCATAATAACATGATTTTCAAAACTGCTATCCATTTCTTTTAAACCAAATAGCGTGTACATGAACCATAACACTTGACAGGGGGATTCATTTGATTGGGGAGGGGGAGATATACCTGTGATATAACCTGGTTAAATCTGCAATTCAAACTGTTCCTTATATAGATTATCAGTGCTGGCTGTGTGATTTCTTAAATTTTTTTGGTTTCAGTAAAAAAAAAAAAAAAATTATATATATTTATTTATGCTACTTCTGTGCCACCTTAAAAGCATTCCGTACTGCATATGACCAATTTCCTTTTAAACATGTTGTCCTCTTGTAAAGTGAAAGCAGGCCTAATTATTGTTTGGCATCTATGTGGAATCATGCTGTTGCTAGTGTACCTAGTTCAGAGTGTTCTAAATATAGGGCAGCCCTGGCTGGAGAGCCCATTGATTATAAAGAATAGCTGCATTTTTCGCCTTCTGTCTCATAATAGGGTATACGTTGTACTGTATAAAATACTAATAACATCGAATAATTAAAAAAAATAATAGGGAATCGTGAGTTTATTTTTAGTTGGACTAAGAGTGAGACTGGGAAATGTGGAACAACTCTTCTTAAACATCCATAGTAATGCTACTCTCTTGATTTATTTATTTTTTTGGGTGGATTTCATGTGTAGAAGGGTATGCCATGCTTTAGCACTTTAAAGTTAAACTCCAGGCAAATAATGCAGACACAGATAATGCAGCTTTGCATTAATTAGTTCATCATTAAACATATTTTTTTAAATGCAGGAAGTGTAAGTACCTGTATTTGACCTGGTATCAAACTCTTGTACAGTAGACCCTGTGCTGCAGAGCTCATCGTGGGGAGGGAGAAGCAGCACAAGAAGCCAGTGAGTTTTGCTGCAGTGCAAAGAACATGCTTATACAGCAGGAGGTGAGAACAGTGTGACAAAGATAAGCTGTTTAGTCTGCTGCTTCTCCTTTCAGTGTATGGTTACAAGCTGGGGAAGGGACAAGACCTGTACAGACGTGAGCAAATTTGTTGGTACCCTTACAGCTCATTGTACCAATGCTTTATTCTTACTGAAAAGTGATACAATTAATAGTGTTTGTTTCCTGTATACCTGCATGCCTTTGGTACGTCATGGATTAAAGCAAAATATTGTGAAAAGAGATATGTTTTTGCTTATTCTACCAAGATATTCTAAAATGGCCTGGACAGTTTTGTTGGTACCCATAGAAAAGATAAAAAATTGGATCATAATTATATTTCAAAATAACTGTTTTCTGTAGTTAGTATCACATGTGTCTTCAATCTTGTAACAAGTCAGTCAGCCTATTTAAATAGGGAAAAACTAATCACTCTGCTATTTAGTACCATTGCGTACACCACACTGAACATGGACTAGAGAAAGCACATGAGAGAGTTGTTTGAGGAGATCAGAAAGAAAATGATAGAGCAGCATGCTTCAAGCAGCTTGATGTTCCTGTGACTATAGTTTCAAATATTAGGAAGTTTAAGGTCCATAGGAGTATAGCCAACTTCCCTGGATGTGGTCGCAAGAGAAAAATTGATTAAACAGAAGAAAGTGCAAATGCTCGACAAAGCCAAGGAAAACTTGTAATGGGATAAACGTTGAACTCCAAAGTCAAGGTACATCAGTGTCTGCTGGCACCAAAAGTTGCTTTTGAGGGACAGTGTGCTCAAAGCAAGACGATATGGGAGGATGAAAAAGCTAAAAAAAGCCAGACTGTCATTTGCTAAAATGTGTATTGACAATCCACAATGCTTCTAGGAGAATGTTCTTTGGATAGATAAGATAGATTGTAACTGTTACTGAACGGCAGCAGATATAAATCAGGTTTTCTCCCCTGCCAGGCAGGATAGTGCTGTATTGATAGAACTGTGTGAACTTGACGGGTAGAAATACAAATTCTTTGGAAAGTAAAATGGTACCCTATGTATTTCATCTGCGTATTTAGCTTTTTGCCTTAAGGTCAGCTTTAGGGCAGTTATTAAAATCTAGTAGGACAGATTGGTGATCTATTTTTCACCTCAACATGATATTTCAGTAACAAGCAGGGCGTAAAAATGATATACATAGTATAACCTACCTATCCAAGTAAACCTGGATACAAGGTTAGTTGGTGTTGGGACTACTGTTTATCCTATTATGTGTTGTGCCATATCATTAAGTATGTTTATATTCTTTACTTAAAACATGTATTTTTGAAATATACTTGGGATGAATTGTAAATTTAGACTGGATGTGGGAATGTTAACCATTAGTGGAGATTTGCATTTTAATATGCCTTTTTTTTTTACATGGTTTGAATGTGTTCTTGAGTAGCAAAAGTTTAACTTTCATTTCTTTTTTTTTCTTTTTTTTTCAACAATAGCCCCCGAAGATTCCTTGCTTATAGTACAGAGAGCAGAGCTCTACACAACCATGAAGAATTTCAAGCAAGCTTTTAATGATGTGGATGGTGTCTGCAGAAAACAACCTCTCTGGCCTAAGGTAAAATTGGGAGCTCAAAAAGAAAAGCATATATACTTTTATTTAGGCATGTATAAGCCTTTTGCTGAACTGAAGATTTCCACAAACTTACAAATGGAGAGTATTCACTTATTTACACCCATCAATTTATTAACTACGTAAAAGCTGTAGAATGTTTGAAGCCCAATCTTTATAAATCGGCTATATTGCAGAGAACTGGCTAAAACAACTATAACAACCATCCTATTTATGCAGGCAGCTCTCAGATGAGGACTGGGATTCTGAACAACCCTCAGCTCTGTTGTGCAAGTTAAGGATCTGTAGGCTGTAAAATTTATATTTTTTCCTCAAGTGGTAAGTGGAACAAGTGGAAAGAGTTGAGGGCCATTCACACCTATATCTGTGTTTTCGCCTAGTACGTTGCCACCCATTTTCAATAGCCCCCCCAACCCTCGTCCACATGCTACGGCACCTGCCTCATTATTTTAATTATTTCTAGAATTTTTTAAATATTGCTACAAAATAATATTACATTTTTCCAGAAAAGCTTTTAGACCTAAAGGTAGGGCAACCCTAGAGAGGAGAAAGGGGAAAGTTGGGAGCTGTGTCCACAAGAATACTCAATAAATCTCAATAAACTCCAATTCTAAACTTTATGAACTAGCAACATATGTTTGTTTTGTTTCCTAATTTAGCAAGCTGCTACATTGATCAGCTAACCACATTGAACATGCTAATATAGCTTAGACCCTTCCAAACCACAGTACCTATAGTAACATTCCTCAGCATAATGCCCTGACACATTAATAAACATCGTCTCTCAAACCTGGCTGCCACTGAGGGTTCCAGTCTCCATGATTAGGAACCAATCAGAGTGGTTCCCAATCATGTAATCAATATGTAGGCTATGACATACTGATCATTTGCAGGCTAAAGTGTGCATCTGTTTATTACTGTAATTTTCAGATACAATTACAGTATAAAAAATATACTATAAAATAGAAATAAAATGTAATACACTTTTAATTTTTTTTTGTACATGTCTCAGCTTACAATGGGAAAAACAGAGCTGGGTTGTTAATAAAAGCCTTATGTCATTTAGTCATAGTTTTTTTTTTTTTCAAGTTAACTGATGCATGCTAATGTTGCTATAGTTTACCTGGGCATCTAGGCTACATTTATTTCTGGGCACAAAAAGGTTAAACATTGTTGGACCTGTAGTGATATTTAATTATTATTGTAAGTTTCTTTTTATTATAAGGTATTTTTTTTATCTTTATAGTTGAAGTATGCAAAAAATTTGACAATATTATTATAATGATTTTATAGAATGGCTGAAACAAATGAAATTTGGTGCCTTCCTGAATTATGCTAAACCACTATAGCTCCCCTGATAATAATACTAATAATACCCATAACACAAGTGCAAAAAGAAGCAAAGGTCTTATTTATTTAGGTTCATTAACACTAGGTAACATTAGATTCACAGCCTGCCCTTTTGATGTTTAGATGATGGACAGCCATCAAGGTATTATCTCCCCAGCACTGCAGGACACCTTGAGGGTGTTTCTGATGCAAATATAACCCCCAAAAAACACAGGGTGCCATGCGTAGAATCCTTTCCAGGAGATAGGATCTTAATTTATGACCCCTCTGTCTGAATAGGATAAATAGATAGATAGATAGATAATATTTAAAATGTTGTGAAGTCCAAAAATGGCTGTGAGTGCTGCACATTTTTTGCTGATGTATGCAATATCCAGTTGTGTGAAAAAGTGTTGGCCCCCTTCCTGATTTTTCATTGTTTTGCACGTTTGTCACACTTTAATCTTTCAGATAATCAAACAAATTTAAATATTAGTCAAAGATATTATTAAGGGAAAACAAAATCCAAACCCACATGGCGCTGTGTGAAAAAGTGTTTGCCCCCCCTGTTAAAGCATACTGGTTTATCACACCTGAGTTCAATTTCTCTAGCCGCACCCAGACCTGATTACTGCCACACCTGTTCACAATCAAGAAATCACTTAAATAAGACTTGACTGACAAAGTGAAGTAGACTAAAAGATCCTCAAAAGCTACACATCGTGCCGAGATCCAAAGATAGTTGAAGTATGCAAAAAATTTGACAATATTATTATAATGATTTTATAGAATGGCTGAAACAAATGAAATTTGGTGCCTTCCTGAATTATGCTAAACCACTATAGCTCCCCTGATAATAATACTAATAATACCCATAACACAAGTGCAAAAAGAAGCAAAGGTCTTATTTATTTAGGTTCATTAACACTAGGTAACATTAGATTCACAGCCTGCCCTTTTGATGTTTAGATGATGGACAGCCATCAAGGTATTATCTCCCCAGCACTGCAGGACACCTTGAGGGTGTTTCTGATGCAAATATAACCCCCAAAAAACACAGGGTGCCATGCGTAGAATCCTTTCCAGGAGATAGGATCTTAATTTATGACCCCTCTGTCTGAATAGGATAAATAGATAGATAGATAGATAATATTTAAAATGTTGTGAAGTCCAAAAATGGCTGTGAGTGCTGCACATTTTTTGCTGATGTATGCAATATCCAGTTGTGTGAAAAAGTGTTGGCCCCCTTCCTGATTTTTCATTGTTTTGCACGTTTGTCACACTTTAATCTTTCAGATAATCAAACAAATTTAAATATTAGTCAAAGATATTATTAAGGGAAAACAAAATCCAAACCCACATGGCGCTGTGTGAAAAAGTGTTTGCCCCCCCTGTTAAAGCATACTGGTTTATCACACCTGAGTTCAATTTCTCTAGCCGCACCCAGACCTGATTACTGCCACACCTGTTCACAATCAAGAAATCACTTAAATAAGACTTGACTGACAAAGTGAAGTAGACTAAAAGATCCTCAAAAGCTACACATCGTGCCGAGATCCAAAGAAATCCAGGAACAAATGAGAAAGAAAGTAATTGAGACCTATCAGTCTGGAAAAGGTTATAAAGCCATTTCTAAAGCTTTGGGACTCCAGTGAACCACAGTGAGAGCCATTATCTACAAATGGCGGAAACATGGAACATTGGTGAACCTTCCCAGGAGTGGGCAGCCAACCAAAATTACCCCAAGAGCTCAGCGACGACTCATCCAAGAGGTCACAAAAGACCACACAACAACATCCAAAGAACTGCAGGCCTCACTTGCCTCAGTTCAGGACAGTGTTCATGAATTTACCATAAGAAAGAGACTGGGTCTGAAGCGAACTTGGGTTCTGCAGCAGGACAATTATCCAAAATACACCAGCGAGTCCACCTCTGAATGGCTGAAGAAAAACAAAATGAAGACTTTGGAGTGGCCTAGTCAAAGTTCTGACCTGAATCCTATTGAGATGCTGTTGCGTGACCTTAAAAAGGCGGTTCATGCTCGAAAACCTTCCAATGTGGCTGAATTACAACAATTCTGCAAAGATGAGTAGACCAAAATTCCTGCACAGTGCTGTAACAGACTCATTGCAAGTTATCGCAAACACTTGATTTCAGTTATTGCTGCTAAGTGTGGCCCAACCAGTTATTAGGTTTAGGGGGCAAACACTTTTTCACACAGGGCTATGTGGGGTTGGATTTTGTTTTCCCTTAATAATAAAAAACCTTCCTTTCAAAACTGCATGTTGTGTTTACTTGTGTTATCTTTGACTAATATTTAAATTTGTTTGATGATCTGAAACATTAAAGTGTGACAAACGTGCAAAACAATGAAAAATCAAGAAGGGGGCCAACACTTTTTCACACAACTGTGTGTGTATATATATATATATATCTCTAGTGTGTCTTCAAGTTAATAAGCCAATTGGTTAATCCTATAATCAGAAGATGTGTTTCTAATGTATAGGATTAGTTCTGGTCCCCAACTAGTGTACATATATATTCATTGTATCTACCTCCCTGTAGTTGTCTGCTATAGTGGCTGGTCCTACTGGTTCCCACCCATGGCTCTGCTCTCTGCTCAGGTTGTAACCAGCACAGTGATTTTACCTTTTTTACAAGGATATATCCAGGTTTGAATAAGCATTTGGTGGACAAAAATCTATATAACTTGTTGCTGTTCAGAAATGTATTTTAAAAAGGTATCTGTGGCCAGCGTTCAGTGTTAACTGTATTCTAACAGACTTGCTCTGATGAAAGTAACAGAAGGGCTGAATTACTTACATTCTGGGAAGCATACATATATATGTAACCTCCAGTAGAGTTTACATGACTAGAAGCCTAGGCATTTGGTCATGTGATCTTTGCTGAATGAAGCTATATAAACAGCTCTTGACGGAACATTGATCAATGTAAGTCTTTTAGCCCTTATAGTACTATTTAAACCCATTTAGACTAATAGAATAGCTTCAAGTTAAAATTAATTATAGTATAGTATATTAGGTACCGAACCACTTAAAACAGTCCAGTTACATATATTTGTGGACTGACTTATGCACATGAAACAAACTTATGTCCAAACTGACTTATGTACATTAAAAATGAAATACTAAAGGCTATGATGTTTGATAAATTGAGCTGCCAAGGGGATCATTTATTGTGACCTATAATACAGCATAGTGCAGTTTAATCCCGGAGGTTTAAAGCAAAACCATACTATTTCTTTTTATGGAAACATTTTACAATTGCAAGTCGTAAATAACAATAATGCATGCACAAACACCTTCAAATTTGTGTTAGCTTTTGTTTTAGCCATTATTTATATAATTCATATGCCAAAAGCTATACCACTAACTGAGGGAGGTGATTAATCATTCCGTAACAGAAAATCCTCTGTAGGAGCAATTGGTCTATTCCTACCCTTATCCTCCTCTTCTGTTGTTTTATCAGTCTCTTGTTACTTGTTTGACTAAATGCAGCTACCAAATGAGAAGGGAGAACATACTTGATGGCATATAGAAGCATAATGGCATACTTAAAGGGAGGTGTAGCAAAGCCTATGACCTCTTAGCTAGGCAATCAGCAGAGATCAGGCCAGTTAGTTACAGAAAATTCTAGGCCCTGATGCTTTGCCTGCACAGCAGCTGGGAAATACCACAATCAGCCATAACATTCTGACCACTGAGAGGTGATGTGAATAAAATTGATTATGTCATTGCAATGGCACATGGAAGTGGGTGTGATATATTAATCAGCAAGTGGGCATTTTGTCCCTGACGTTGATGTGTTAGAAGCAGAAAAAATGGGCAAGTGTAAGGATTGATTTGAGCGAATTTGACAAGGGCCAAATTGTGATGGTTAGACGACTGGATCAGAGCAACTCCAAAATTGCGGGTCTTTTGGGATGTTCCCGGTCTGCAGTGGTCAGGACCTACCAACAGTGGTACAAGGAAGGAAATCTGATGGACTGGCGACAGGGTCATGGGTAGCCAACAAAATATAATTTTCTTTGCCTTAAATGTAATCCTGTGTTCCAGTTTAACAAAAAGATGCTTGGTTAATCACTTTTAAAGCATGTCACGTTGTTGTGTATACAGGGACATTATGTGAAAGCGCAAGCTCTGTCTGGACTGGGAAGGATGGAGGAGTCTTTGAAGGAGTTTCTGTATTGTGTTGCCTTAAATCCTGAATGGAGCTCAGTGAAAACAGAAGCACAAAAGGTATTATTCCATAAATCCTCTCAGATTAGTGTTGTATAAAGACCTATATATGAGTTCTACCACTTGCTATACAAAAAAACTTTCTAGAAATTCCAAGTAATTTTTTGGGGTATGCAATACATTTCAAATCCTCCTCTTGTTATTCAGAAAGTGTCTAAGCATTCCTCTTTAGCCTCTAGGTTTATGTGTAATATATTTAATATATTATATATGTAATATATTTAGTGAAATTGCATAATTGCTCATGGAAGTGAGGTTACAACAGAGCAGGCATTATTTTGTGTCAGCATTTACCTTCCAAACCATAAGGTCTCCTCTGTGCTTCCCATAGTGCAACAACATTTTTCATTAAACTGTTGAAATGCTCTGTTGCATTGTTGGTGCAGGGTGGGACTTCAGCTGAAAGTTTGTAGAAAAGTCAAGGATACCAGAAAATATGCGCTCAGGTCAGGCCTTTCCAGGTTAGCAGAGAAGGTTTTGCTCTAATCTGGTGCATCTGGCACATGAGATTTGGCAGGGTTTTTTTTTTTGCTTCATCACAATTAAAGTAAATTGTTTGCCATGATAATCCTTTGATGCTGTGGTAAAAAGTTTAAGCCCTGTTCAAACCTTTACGTTTTGTCGCGTGTTCAACGCTCTATGAACGCTCTACAAAACGTACAAACTTGAAAATCCCATTGTTTTCTATGGGTATGGTTCACACCTTTCCGTATTTCAGCCCGTCTGAACGCGCTACAAAACGGCCTACGCCCAAAGAAGTACATGTACTTCTTTGGGGTGTTTTGGTCTCGCGTTTCCATTGGGATAAGCCAAGTAGCCCTCGGAAACGCGCGTTTGTCGCGCTTTTTTTTTTACCGCGAATCGACAAATGCGCATATTCAATACACCTAGGTGTGAACACAGCCTAAGGGTAAGTTTAAGGTTAGGGTGGTGGCTAAGGTTAAGTTTAATGTTAAGTATTAGGTTTTATGGGTGAAGCTAAGAGTTAGGTTTAGGGGTTACATTCAACTATGCCTTTGTGGGTTTACTTAGCATTTAGGTCAAGGGTTTGAGTAACATTCCCAATTTAGGGTAGGTTGTCAATATATTTATGTGTATGGGGTGGCATGATGGCCTGAGCAGCCAAAATCTTTATATAGGGAAAGGAAGGGGAAGTTGTTAGCCTTCTGTAAGCTGCGACATAGAACAACATGGATCTTATATAAGGCTGTCTGCTCAGGGCTCTAGCAGATAAAGAGGGTGGTAGGGGTATGCAGGGAAGAAGTAAGTCTCAGCTTTGGAGGATGGGGGGGGGGGCTTGGTTTATCAAGAGACTGCCTAATTATTTCAGTGTGCGGATTATTTTTAGACTTAAAAAAGCAAGGCTTACTTTGGAGAGGTCCCAACTCATCTATCGAAAGCATGTCCTGATCACAATGCAAGATTACAGTGTGCCCAAAACTCCCACAGAGTTTGAAATACTGGCATTTTTTTAAATTTCTCACATGCTTTCATCTCTTTGCTAATTGAACTTGGGGTTATCTGCAAAAAACTGACAAAGTAAAAAAATGCCAAAAGTGTCAAGAGGTGTTTGAGGGAGATTTCTTTTTTCTTTAATCCTCTGCAATGTGACTACAAAGAGATTGTAATAAATTGTACTATTGCCTGTGATCAGTGAGTATATGTAGAACAGTTAATGCTTAAGGACAAAACTGCAAACCAACATTGAGGTGTGATTACCCAGGAATGATTGTTGCCATAGTTCGTAAAAATCGATCCTGTAGCCATAATTCCTAAATTGCTGATAATATATTTTTAATGATCAGCAGAACATATTTACAGAATCATATTTATTTAAAGCATTTTTGGCATTCAGCTTGTGCTTTTTTATCAATATACATTTGCTGTTCCTACCCTGTGTTAGTAGTAATGTGCATTAAACAGCATCGTCTTCTTCTACATCATGGTGGGGATTTGTCATTTATGGCCCTGATCTAGCATGTGACATTTACATTGCATTTAGATATTACGGTTACATGACATGTAGCTTTTTCATTATGTAAGCGGCAAGCTAAAGGTTTAAAAACATGAACTAAAATGTATGTTTCTTTGCTTTTTTCATGATTCACAATGATGGCTTTATTTTTCTATCTAATGCAATTCCCAGTAAACTGTTCCTGGAAAATGTACTTGTTGAAGGAACATGATCATGAAAAGAAAACTAAATTACAGCTTTACTATTAAATTTCATGCAGGCATTTCTAGATGTATTGATTTGACTACATGCTTGCCCAATTATTCTAATATTCAAGGGTTCTGCATAGTATTAAATAAAAGGGCACAGTAAGGGACTATTGTCATACTTTCATATTGTGCTTTCTGGTGTATGAAGAATAGATCTATACCTGGCAACCTGAAAATGTTTCTTCAAAAATATTCCTGTGCTTCTCTCCACAAGTAAACTAAGGTGTTGTAGGAGAAGTTTGGTTAAATGGGTAAAAGAGGGTAGCCTTGCTTTTGAGACCTTTCCACTCCATTGATGACAATTTAGGGTAGTAAGCATGGAGCGTTGAGTGTAATGTAGAATTTACTCCACACTTCCAATCCAATATCCTTTTAAGCTGCTGTTTGCGATTTCTGGAACATTCATTGGACATCTGGCCTTTGCAGCAATCTGCTTTTCTAGCTTCTGTTTCCACTCAAGTCTGTTGAAAATGTGATCACATTTTTAGAGATTAAAGCAAGCCAACTTGCCTTGGGAACTTGAGGGCATCAGAGGGCCAGCAGTTTTGACTGGAATTTAAAAACTATGTTTACCTTTTCCTACTCCACTGATTTACACAAACATACTCATATTAAAAAATAAGAAATAAAGAACCTGGAGTACACTTTGCTATTGAAAAGAGGTTGTCTTCTGCTCAAGCAGCATCTTTTTTTTATTTTAAACAGATTCTGATTCCTCTAGATCAACAGTGGGTAACTGTGGGATTTGCGCTCTGTTCTGTTTTAGTTTTTGGGTTTTTTTTTTCTCTTATCTGTATAGGTTGAACTCGATGGACTCTTTTTTTCAACCTGACTAACTATGTAACTATGGTTAATAACATACAACCTAATTGAAATTCTGATTTTGTTTTTCCAGTTAATGTGCGAGATGCTGTTTCCAGCCTTTGAGAATGTACAAGCCAGTTTATCAGCTCGTGCCCCCACACCTTACACTAGACTGAAGCCGGTCGTCTTAAACACCTCCAACCATTCTTCTGTGGAGGATGTGCCTCTGCCAGAAGGATCTAAGGTAGAGTCTAGTAATGTGTTCTTATATTCAGTTACAGCCTGTATGCTAATTTAAATGTACCTTTTTTTACAAGAATTACATTTCCCTATAATAAAGTGTGATTAAAGCCAATTTTTTAAAATATTTTTTAATAGAGTAGAGAGGGATTAGAACAATCGTCAGGTTTATATTACTGTCCCGTTAGGGCGATTTATATTTACCTCTCTATTTGTCCTGGTGACTGCCATAAGTTTTGGGTGGTCATCAGAACAGGAATAGATGGGAAATATTCCAATGGAAACACTAGTTCTGGTGTCCCTGTTTACCTCCAGGGATTTTCATCACTTTAGAGGGATTTCCTCTCACTTCTTGTTGTGACTATCAGACAGAAAGATAAAGAAAATCTCCCTAATGGGCACAGATGGCAAAAAAAGCTGGTGGGGGTTATAACTCCTGATTATTATATCCAAAACTGAAAAAAAGGTTTCAATTTTACTTTAAGTACTCTTTGCCCTAAATTTAAATAGTGTAAGTTCTATCCCTAAGCAGTTGATTATATAATGGCCTAATATACATTTGTTCGATATTTATGATCTTACTTTGACAGTTTTAATTGCTATAAACCTGGTGATAAATCCACCCAACAAACCACATTCAGGTTAAATGGGTTCAAACTATGCATGCACAATTTACATATGTTTATCTTGGCTGTTTTCAAGCCTTAATGGATAGCATGCCAACACATTATCATACTTTCATAATGCTGAACTCCCTGCCAAAGCCATGATGTATGCTAAGAATTAGAAATGCCCAAAGTGTATCGCCAATTTGCCAAGGGGCATTTAAGGCAGTTGTACAGATTGACATCCCATGGTTGTTACTGATTATACACCTCTTTTCACTTTACATATCTTTTAGAGGTTGCTTACCTTGGTAAATGCAAAATGTGTAGCTGAGAAAAGTAAGATAAGTTGGAACCAGGGCCTGGACTGGTAGTTTGGCAATTCTAATAGATGCCAGAAGGGCTTGTCTGGCTGACAATATGTGTAGGCTCAGACTCATTCAGCAATTAACTATCAATAGCTTTTATAATTTTTTTTTTGCCTCTGTGCTGTACTGGTTGGTAATGTGAACTGTATAATAATTAACAGCAGAGTTTTTCCAAATTTTGTCTCACCCACAGACATGGGCTGAAGTGCCTTATTTGCCAGGGCTGCTTTTATTGCCAGTCCATCGCTAGTATGGACCCATATGAAGCGGGGGTCACCTTGCTGTATTGCATGTATTTCAATACTTCATTTAAATTGATCAATTAACTTTTGCCCTAAAGAAAAATCCTAAAGTTATGTCACTTATACCAGAAAGAATATGCTGCCCAGATGTTAGAAAATGGCAACTGCCATTTGTTTTCTTCACACAGGTTTCCTTAAACCAGAAACTCAACAGTGATAAACCCATGAGGAGTTCTAATCCATCCTCCCTCCATCTAAAACTATAACCAAAAAAAATAAATAACAGATTGACATATACACTGCAGAACTGCATTGTTTTGTAAATTGTAATATTGTAAATTGTGCATAAGTCAGTAGTATTCATTTTTGTAATAATTTATTGTGAACATATTTTGTAAATAATTGTGATTGGGCATTAGCAAACACACGACAGTCATAGTGTGACGTCCAACATTTGTTTTGCCTGCAGGACTCCGTGTTCAGACTAACCAAAGCTTCATTTCCAAAATCTAATGATTTTACTGAGTGTCCTGAAATATGTGACCTGCCTAATGAAAAGGTGACAAAGACTCTGGGAAGTGCCCTCTCCTGCCTTCCAGAAGCAGGTCTGAAGAGGAAACGTTCCGATACCTTAGAGGACCTTCACAGAAATGAGCTCCCTGCCAAAGTCTTCAATAATGGTAAGAAGTAGAAATACCTGCAGTGATACACTTAGTATAAGTCTGCGAAGAAGTATTGAAGAATCATTGAAGGTGATTGTATGGTATTAGCAGGCTGGCATTAAACATATCTTGTTAATTATTATTTATTAGTCAGGACGCTGTGAACATTATTATGGTAACTGGCAAGAAGATGAATAGCTCCATATGTTATCCCCAATATTGCATCACTGAGCCCACAGTTTAGGAGCATTAAATTTGCATTGTAGGGAGTTCTTAGTGACCATTTGAAATAGAATAAAAGTAGTGTTTGTTAATTGATATTTTATTTCCCAGATGTTGATTCCCAGTGGGAAGAGTCGGCCTCAAAGTCACAAGCGAGAGCCATCTCCACGGACCTGGTAGATTCTTCTGATTTTGAGTGCTCCCTCTGTATGAGGTATGTCTGAACCTTATACATTTTCAAATCTGCTGAGTTTACATGTTCTCTGGAAAAATACTTTAAAAATGTAATAAAAAACAAATGTGATCACAAAGGTGAAATGCTGTAAACCAGCTGTTTCCTAAAGTAGCACTGACACTTTGAATAGTGTCTTATCTGTTTCCCATTAGGGACTTTTCCCTTCACTTTCTGCCAAATAGCCACAACATGAAGTGAAAAGAAATCCCTCCAAAAAGAGGGAAATCAGTGGTAGCCAGCAGGGTCACCAGAACAAGTGTTCCCATTGAAAGATTTCCCATCTATTCTTGTTCTGACAACAACCCAAAATGTTTGGATTTTCTTCCACTTCAATAAATAGTGAGGGTAAATCACTCTAACGGGGACACAGAGAGCAATAAAAACCTGACAGGTGGTCTAATCTCTCTTCACTCCATCCAAAACTAAAAAAAAGTTTTGGCTTAATTTGTACTTTAAATTAAAAGCTGATTTATTGTTAGAAGTACTTCATTTTTCTTGGATCACCTGAGACCCGGGTTTTGAAGGAATGAAAGTTAGCATTGCTAAATTACATTATTATTTTTCCTGCTGCAAATAAAAAAACTTCTGTTCCTCAGTAACCAGCCCAGGCAGGCTAGGTCACATGTCTCTGCCTATCAGTCATTACTGCAGAGAGTCTGTTATTTGTATTTAGTAGTGAGTTAAGCTAGCTATACACTGTTATATATATTTTTTATACCAAAAATATAACTGATTCCTCCATCCACACCAACACAGTGTAGATGGAGGAATCTCCCGCTCTGTGCTTTATAATATGACGGTGGCACACTCACAATACTCTAACAGTGACAGTAGCTGATTGGCTGTTCTCAGGCCCGGATTTCCCATAAGGCCACCGAGGCCCGGCCTCGAGGCGCAGAGGGCGGCAGCGTTGTCTTTGTGGGGAAGTTGCAGGCGCCCGCAATGAGGAAGCCGATTGTTCGTTTACATGTCATCTCGGCGATGTCGCCGAGATGACAGGTAAAAAGTCTGCAGCCGGCCAGTCCGTCCTCCCCTCCCTCCCTGCACTTACCTCTCTCCTCTGGTTCCGTCCTCCGGCGCAGTGAGCAGAGCGGCAGGGTTAAAAGTAACCCTGCCGCTCCGTGTAGACTGTGAGAGGGGAGAGCTGTGCTGTGCTCTTCCTCTCTCACCTGTCACACGAGTTCCAGCACAGTGCTGTGCCAGAACTCCTGTATTGGAGGTGACAGGGTCAATAAAGAGAATCTGTCACCTCCAATTGCTATCACACAGGGGATTGTTATCTCCTGTGTGATAGCAATAACATTAGGTGGAAAACATTTTTTAATTGATTTAAAAAAATAAATTATATGAAAAAAAAAAAAGGTGATTAAAAAGTAAAAAATAATAAAAAACAAATTATTAAAAAATAAGAAAATAATTATAAAAAATAAACAATAATAAGATAAAAAAATTATACAAACATAAAAAAAGTAAATAAGATAAATAAAAATCTAAAAAAAATTAAATTGCAAAAAAAATATTTAAATAAATAAAAATTAAAAAAATAAGAAATAATTACATTTTTAAATTTTAAATGATAAAAAAGTTACAAAAAATAAAGAAACAGTAAAAAACGTATTACGGAACCTGGCCTTGGGGCGGCAGGGAGAGTAAATCCGACCCTGGCTGTTCTCCCAAAGATTTTTCACTCGGCTCTTTCGATTTGTTTGATCGAAGGATGTCAGACAGAAGGATATCCAAGAGGCACTAAGTGTGCTAATTTGGACGATATTTGCACAGTGTATGGCCAACTTTAAGTTGACCAAAAGACTACCTCATGTACATACTGTATACATGTTAGGGAACACAGCATGAACACACTTGGATAAATTGGTTTACATTAAATCAAATTTTATTACCCCTGCTTTCTGCTCCCTAATAAAAAGTAAAACACTGCTTAAATATGTAAAAACTTTTAGCAGATGTTTAGGCTACCTCCTAGTAGCAGAGGACTAATGCTTACTGGTCACAGCTGGCGTGTATGTTGAAGGGGCTGACCTGTTTAATACAGAAGAACTGGTGGACTTAGTGTGAAATAAGTATTTTGTGGTATTACTACTGTACAGTATATTAGTACTTCTGGATTTTAGTACTTTAAAAATACTATAGTCCCCCTTTTAGATGTTGCCTGGTATGTTAATGAATGCCCAATTGACTTTAGTGTCATTTGTACTGTCATAGTATTTTTACAATGGCTTTAGCTTACTGAATTCCAGAGATCAGTAGAGTGTTTTACTAGAGAAAAAAATGTAAAAAATGCTTTGATGAAATTGCTTTGCTCATCAGAGAATAATTTCCTGTTTCTGGAGGGTTTAAACCCATGGGAAAATAGAATGACAGGACTGCCAAGGTAATTTTTCTTAAGACTTACAAATAAGAAAAGACTGCACTCTGGTAATAGGTTCAGGTCAAAGCACAAAGCAACTGACCCATTTTTGAGAATGTGAAGGCTATTGCCTTGCTATTATAATTGTATAAAAAGCAGCTCCGCTAGATGAATCCATAATGTTACTTTTAGGTAACACTAATACATTAACAGATGAGTGATTGTATAATGCAGTTTGCTTGTGAAACAGTGCCACCCTCTGATTTGACCATATACCGGTACATAAGCACTGATGTATAACTGTGCCAGATATGCTTTATATAAGCAGAAGTCTGTAATTGAGTAAAATCTGGAAACCTATACAGTGGGAAATATACAGACTGCCATAGTGGATGTCACCTTTTGGGAGATACTAATTTCCTGGCAATCATGCTGTGAAGTTACACGAACAGTCCTGATCCTAAACATGTGTAGACACATAGAGAACATCCTTATATCTGGTTTGTGGCTTATCTTTAGACAAAATCCTAAATGGTATGTTTTTATAAATATGTGTATTATTAACTGGTTCTAGTCATAGGCCATAATAAATATTAAAAGGAAACAAAAGTACCTTGCATTAAAATTATGTTCTTTCCGTACATCTGTATTCTGTTGCAGGCTATTTTATGAGCCTGTAGCCACCCCATGTGGACACACATTCTGCCTCAAATGCCTTGAGCGTTGCCTGGACCACAACCAGCATTGTCCCCTTTGCAAAGAGAACCTGTCTCAGGTGAGAGGATTTATGTTGATCTATTAGAGATTAAGTATGAACATGTCACTGGTGCATAGTAATACATACTATGGCATGTAGTCTTTATCGTCTAACATCAGGATTGCTTAGCATCAAACATCCCTGAGAATTTATGTTTTCCATATTTTTTTAGTTGGGGATAGGAAGGGTGTTTCAAGCTGTTTTTTTTTTAGCTAGTAATTTCCTTTATAAAGCATGTTGGAAATGTGAGGATTGTTTGTCAAACCTGCTGGGGGTAATTGTCACCTAATGGCATTGGTATAAGTTCTTTACCACACTGGCCCCTGAGAATATACTAAGGCTTCCGTGATGATATTGTATTTGAATTGAACTGGAAGAATAGCTGCAGAAGTGCAGACTTGGGAACTCAAGTGCAAGTATCTCACCAGAAATGATCAATTTTGGATGGTCAGACCCTATAAAACCAAGCTTAAAAAGTATGTGCAGCTCACTGCTAATCACACAAACCCAAAAAAAGACTTTATTGATCAACCCTTTCAGCTAATGCCAGAGCTCTAATTGGAAATGTTTTCTTTGACACCTGTGTAGTATGATTGCAGTGGGTGAATTTATCTAAATTGGAGCAGACAAAATCTGGAGCAGTTGCCCATGGCAACCAATCAGCTTCTCTCTTCATTTTGTTCAGTTGAGTATGAAAATGAAATAGAGAAGCTGTTTGGCTGCCATGCACAACGGCTCCAGATTTTGTCTGCTCCCGTTTTGATAAATTCCCCTCAGTATGTTTTCAAAAATCTTGAATATTACTTCATAATGTTTATGTTTTAAATCTTTCAACGTGAACTGTAAAAATAAAAATTATAAATTGTATTGGAGGTATGTTGACCCCGACTGATTTCCTTTTACATTTTGTATTTCTAGTACCTTGCAAGTAGAGCATATAAGAAGACACTTCTGACAGAAGAACTGATTAATCGGTTCCTACCAGAAGAAGTAGCCGAGAGAAAGAAACTATATGATGAGGAAATGAAAGAATTATCAAAGTAAGGTTCCTTCTCACGTTTCACAGAGAAGGGAAAGTCAGCTAAATAATTAAAGCACATGGACAGTGCACATGTCTATACCCCTATTCAGAAGGGAATGCATAATTTATAGACTTTGCCTAAGCCTTCTCCATTGCTATTCTAAAGAAACAGCACAAGTCAGTACATAGCAATATGTCAATGAGAAACTCATATGATGGGACCTTTTGAATTGTGTGTGTTCTCCTTGGGTATATTGTGAAGATCCAAAGTGCCATCTTAAGCAATCTCCACCTCCATATTGAGCTTCAAAAAGTCTAGTTGTAGTATGGATGTTAACGTAGACAGAAAACTATTTAGTACCAGAAAAGGACAGTAAATTGTAGAACATTTGGGCAGCATGGCAGCATATCTTCATCACAGAGGGTACACTGTGAGCAAAGGGCTTTTAGATACATAAAAAGTAATAAACACAATGTGATGGCACATGGGTGGAGTAAGAGGCAGGGCTTTATCAGAAACTTTGCTTGACCGAACCGTCTCTTTACTGTTACTTCTGCTTTGATTTAACCATAGAATATGTGGCTCCGAAGATACAAACAAGGTTGGTATTGTCTTACAGTAATAACCTACATTAGCTTTAGAACGCCTATGATTTTTGTTTTACTTATTGTGCTTTTATTATATTCTACAGAAGTTGTATATGTTACAAAGGCATGTGAGTTTATGTAATATCATTATAAAAAGAGCAATGGTGTGTTATAGCGGGCAGTCAACAATTGGTTTTATAAGTCTGCTCACCCCATTCACAGACGCTTAGAAAAGAAAGATAAAGTCTTCTGCTGATTCTAGTTAGACTCAACATGGAGAATGGATTATTGAGGCTGGTAATCTACTGTCTACTAGCATTATGGAAATAACCATCTTCTTTGTAAAGTAGTAATACGTCATGGAAATCCATGTGTATGGTTACCTTGTCAAGTCTGTAAATATGCAGAATGTAATGGAAGCAACTGGATTAAGTTCCTAAAAGACTGACTTATTAAATAAATAGAATAAGGAGGAACAAGTCCGGCAATCCATAACAACCAATTAATATCGATTTAGTTATGCCAAAAGATTTCGATTTGTTATTACAATTACTGCCACTGTAACTGGCACTTTACTTCTTGCACTGTTTACTGCATAAGCCAGGAAAAATAACAGCCTATGAGGGACAATTAATAATACATTTTAAGTGCCTAATATTCATTTCTTTATCATTGTTATGTATATTATACTGACATATTTCAAGGGAGAACATTGAGCAATTAACAGAAGGCCCGGTATTCATAGAGGCTTGCTATCAGATGTTCCTGTGAAGACCCCATTCACACTGAGCAATTTGTAGTGCGATTTCCATTAAAAAAATCGCTCAATGTAGCTATTCCAATGTATTTTAACGGAGATGTTCACATCTTGCAGCTCAATGTCACCTGTACCTTGTAGCTAAAGCTTGCCGCTTGAACATTAGCTATTTTTCGGCGGATTTCAACCAATTTGGCCCCAATAGACTTTGGTAGACTGCCAAATGAAGCGCTACGGTGCACCACAAAATATGCACTGTAGCTCAATGTCGCTCAAAGTCGATCAGCACAAATCAGCGCTGAAAAAGCATGTAGCTCAGTGTGAATGGGGTCTGAGGTCATACACATATGCACACAAAGGAGGATGGAAGCCAATATGTTTTCAAAATTGTGGGAAAGAAAATGGAGCATTGGGAGAAAACATACACATTCCATACAAATAGAGTTCTTGATGGACAGTTTGAAATACCCGTTGTTTTATTGTCATGTTCTGCCGTAGGATATAGACCATAGGCATAATAAGGAAAACATTATTTGTTGCCTGTAGCAAGTACTTATCGTCTTTGACTAATTTACTGACCTAAACTATATAAATAAGATTTGGAAACGATGTTTGTTTGCTACAGGTAAAACAATTTTTTTTTCTGTTACCACACTTTACATACATGCATTCCAGTGTAATGGAAAAAAGAAGTTGGGCGGACATGAAATGCTTTGAAGATTGCTTATGACACTTAGCCTGTGCAGATTTGCAGTAAGGAATGATTCAGAACATCAAAGAAATCATTATCACTCAGAGATGATCTTTTACTCATATATTAGTGACAATATTTAATGTATGTAATAGTCCAAAATAGCCTGTTAGATGTTCATCTAATCTGAGTGTTTACTATATATATAGTACATCGTTCTTGCTAGACCAACCTGCTGACCTTTTACGAAGAGGTAAGTAGAGATCTGGATGGAGGGAGGACGGTGGACGTAATATATCTGGACTTTTCCAAAGCCTTTGATACGGTGCCACATAAACGCTTGTTATACAAGCTAAGGGCTATGGGCATAGATGAATTAGTGTGCACATGGATAGAAAACTGGCTACAAGAACGTGCACAAAGAGTATAAGTAAATGGCACCTTCGCAGACTGGGCTGAGGTCATGAATGGCATACCCCAGGGTTTTGTGCTGGGTCCCATGCTTTTTAACCTATTTATTAATGATATCGGGGAGGGAGTGAGTAGCCATGTCTCAGTGTTTGCTGATGATATGAAAATTGAGAGGGTAGTAGACACAGATTTATACATTATAACATTACAGGAGGACCTGGGGAAATTTGGGGAGTGGGCAACTGTATGGCAGATGAAGTTCAATGTCGATAAATGTAAGGTAATGCACCTCGGAGTTAAAAATAGGCAAATGGACTATAAACTTATGAGTGTGCCACTAGTCGGAAACGAAGTAGGGAAGTCGGAAACGGAGAAGGATTTGGGGGTCATTATAGACCACAGACTGAAGAATAGCTTGCAGTGCCAGGCTGCTTTAAACAAAGCAAGTAGAGTCCTGTCTTGCATTATGAAGGGAATGTATTGCAGGGACAAGTCTATAATTTTACCACTATATAGATCACTGGTTCGGCCACATCTGGAGTATGCGGTCCAGTTTTGGTCACCGATACTCAGAAAAGATGTCCTTGAGCTGGAAAAAGTCCAGCGGAGGGCAACCAAACTCATTAAGGGGTTCAGGGACCTGAACTATGAAACAAGGTTATTAAAATTAAATATGTTCTCTTTGGAGGTTAGGAGATTAAGGGGGGACATGATTTTCCTGTATACGGTTTACGGTTAGCTCTGTAACAAAGACCAGAGGGCACAACCAAAAATTGGTGGAAAAAACATTTCAACACACAGGGCGCAAGTGGTTCTTCACAGTTAGAGCGGTTAGGGTCTGGAACTCGCTACCGCAGGAAGTGATTTCAGCTAAGAGTGTGGAATCATTCAAGAAACTCCTAGACGAGTTCCTCGGAGACCATAACATACAGGGGTACAGGTACACCTAAGTGGAAAATCACACAGGGACTAATACAAACGCACACACCTGCTCAAACATAAATGCACACACGCAATAGGTTGGACTTGATGGATTTATGTCTTTATTCAACCAGAAATACTATGTAACTATGCAACTATGTAACATCTAATGCAGGCCTCAAAATTTCCACTTGCCCCCTCTCAATTGGCGAGTGAAAATTGCGGGGGGGCGAGTGGAATGTCAGCAATGGTGCCTCACCGGCGGGACTAGGGATGGGACACTACCACCGCAGGCAACCGCTCGCTCGCTTCTGTTTTCTCTTCTCTTTCTCGACTGCTGCAGCTACAGAGCGGCCGAGCCCAAGAAGGAAAAGAGAGAAGAGAAGTGAACGCTTGCCGCGGCGGTAGTGTTCCATCCAGAGCCGGAGCTAGCTCTCTGCGCTTCCTCTCTTTCGTCCGGGCCGCTTCAGCTCCACTCAGAGAGGCGGCTCTGATTACACCCATTATCGCTCCCTCTCTCTCCTTCTGGCTGCTCTGAAGCTGCAGCGACCGGGAGCAGAGAGAGGGAATGCTGACAGGTAAGATCGTAGCTGCCTCTCTGAGTGCCCGCTTCATGTTGCTGAAGCTGGAGCGGTCGGGAGAAGAGGTGATCGGTCAGCGGTGTGATCAGAGCATTCTTAAAGAGGCCCCCCTCCCAGTCCACATCTTTTGGACGTTATTAATCTGAGTTGCCCACCTCAGTATGCCCCTCGCTTGCGGCCATATTGAGTGGGGCACTCATATTAATAACGTGCTGGATTAGTCTGACCCAGGGGCGGACTAGGCCCGGGGCAGGGTGGCAAATGCTCCCCAGACCTCTCTGATACCTTTGCAAACGCCCCCCGCCACGGCAAGGACTTCATGTCTTCCCTCTTGGCCGCTGCAGCAGCAGAGCGACCGAGAGGGGAGAGATTAAATGCTTATGGCGGGGGTGGGGGCGTTTGCAAAGGTATCAGAGAGGCTTTGGGGGGCAATTGCCACCCGGGCCCAGTCCGCCCCTGGGTCAGACTAATCCAGCACATTATTAATCTTAGTGCCCCACTCAATATGACCGCAAGCGAGGGGCATACTGAGTGGGGCAACTCAGATTAATAACGTCCGAAAGATGTGGACTGGGAGGGAGGCCTCTTTAAGACTGCGGTGGTGGGGAGAAGAGAACAAGAAGATCCACTGCAATCGTTTGTGCCCTCTTCGATTGGGCTCCTCGGTGCCACAGCAGTTTCCTCCGCCCACCTCAGCTGCCATTGGTGGGAGAGGAAGACTGCAGAACCGCAGTTGGCCGGCTTCTGCTGCGCGGGAGAGAGAGCACCTGGAGCCGGCTGGACGTGCAGGCAACCTCGCTGCTCCCCCACCATCACCAGGAGAAGAAGAGGTCAAAGCAACTGTAAGTCCCTGTACTTTCTTTGTGACCTCTGCACTGC